CGACATATGGACCAATCGCTGTTGTTGCAAGGGCGAGTGGCGCGTTTGATTGGGTAGAAAATTATGTATTTCGATTGGGCTAAATCGATCGAATTATACGCCAATCATATGGTCCATTTGTCGAAAGTTCGAGTGACTTAAGCTTTCTATTCGATCCTAGATCTCACTTTGTCGGGTTAACGGGACCAGCGGGATGCGACGCTGGGCGACCGTCGTGCTGCTCCTGACCGCGCTGTACGCGGCCGACTGCGCTTCTCCAGACGTGGCGCTGCAACATCCGCCCGATGTACGTGCACTGCTCGCCGAGCGGAATGCGACCGCGTCTGCAATGACCAACGCCACGACGAGCAAGGCGACGACGATCGCGCCGGCAACGATCATGGCCACGACCATCAAGGCTGCCAATCTCGCTACAACCGCAAAGAAGACGACGACACAGTGGTGCGTCGACGGCGGCTTCACGTTTGACCTCAACTTTGCAAAAGCCTTTGCCGACATCCCTGCCTTCGGCAACTATTTTGTGAGTCAATGGAGCGCGAGCTTGCCATCCCAATACGAGGTCCAGTTCCGCGATCTCGCCCCGTCACCCCGCGACAATACCAAGCCGTTTGTAGTCTTCTCGGTCTGCGCACCGGCCACGACCTCTAGCGAGCAGTGGCTCGTGTCCGTCCAAAAGCACATCCCGGTTCTCTACACCGTCATCGCGCTGCCGCTCAGCGCTGATCAGGACGAGGCCATCGGTCGTTTGCGCGTATACCATCGATCCGCGAAAATCGCGCCTGCTTCCATCGACTTGACACCGGTACGATCGGTGGTTGCTCTCGTTTCGCCAGCGTCCAACGGCGTTCCGTCCTTCGAGTCGACTCTGATCGCGCACAACTCTGGTGGCACGCCCGCGACGGTGTACGCGATTGTCTGCTATGACATGCGCGACTGGCGCGACACTGCGATCGCGCTGCCCGAGCCGATCGTGCTCCAGCCCAAGCACAAGGCGTCGCTCACGTTCCGAGGCCCCCTGATCCCCAACGCCGGTGTCAACCCGAATCTCGTGGCATCCGACCTGCATCTTTCATTGCACTTGGTTCAGAGCTCTGGCTCGCCGGTCGAAACTACAGTCACGGCTACGTTGGATGCGCCCGAGACGACGAAAGAAGCAACGTTGCCGCCGACAAGCGCACCCGACGCGAAGCACGACAAGGGCGCGCTCGTGGCCCTCGATGCGCAGCCAAATGCCGCGGACGAAGACGAGTTTGCGCGCGTGCGGAACCGTCTCCACAGCCAAGGTGTCGTTGCCAACAGCGCATTTCCGTCGGCGACCTTTAAAGGTACGACATGAGCGAATCTGTCAGGATCACATGATGCGAGTAGCCATCTCGGCGTGCCTCGTGCTTGGCGTGGTCGTCTACACGTCGTACTTTGCCTACGCGCGTCTCCGCAACCGGTCGATGGCCTGGACGCAGCTTGTGGGCCGCAAGAAGCAAAAGGCGAAGTACCCGAACGACAACATTCAAGACTCGGCCCTCGATGAGTTTGATGACCACTTTGAAGAAGACGACGGGCTGCTCTCGCCAACTGCTGCGCCCAAGCCGCCGCCTGTCCTTGCCCAGGAGACCGACCCGCAGCACGTATGGGGGCAGCAGCCAGCGCGCGTCGTGTCACCGGCCCACCGAGCGCCGTTGTTTCCGGAAACGACGCCCACGAAGCGTACGGCCCCAACCATCAGTGCTGTAGTGCCCGAGCCCCTTGAGCTTGACCCTTCCATCCGCATCCATCCCAAGCGGTTCGAGTCGCTATGGGGCGAGTACATGGAGCGGTACGGTACTTTTCGTACCCGTTATGCTTGATGACATCCATTTAGAGCGAAATGGCAGCGGGCGATTTCGCTGCGGCCAGACGCCAACGCCGTCATGACGCGCTTCTACGACATGGGGCTCGTGTGCATGGCCAGCGGTTCGGTCCAGCTCACAGACAAATATTTATTCTACACGGCCGAGGTACGCTTCCGTTGCCTGCACGGGGACTGATGTTACGTAGCCGTCCGCCCCCGACGCTTTCTACTTTTGTGACGTTGCGATCCAATTCATCTCGCTCGAAGTCGACGTCTCGGTGCGCACGCCGCGCGAGACGTCCGCGGCCAAGATGCATGCGTTTGTACAGCGCGTCAAGATGGCACTCGACGACCTCGACGCCGGCGCGTCCCCGCCCACACCAGCGCCGAGTGACTGAGCACCGCATCGATAGGCCATGCATGCTACACGGCGGCGCCGTGGTCGGGTAAACAAGCAACATGACCGCGACTGTCCATTCTCGCGCCTTCTTGCCATCCTTGGTGTCGCACGAGAAGCAAGCATTTGGACCCAGAACGTCCGAGGATGACCACGCCAAGCAGCCACCGTCAGTCGTCACAGTAGCACCTTGGATGCACATGAATTCTTCTCTGGTCATCATCACGCGACCAGTCT